CATGTCATCCCTCAATGGTACACCGCTAGTGTATACCGTTAGCGCGAGCCAGTGTATACCGTTCCCATACTATTATCATCCATTAAAAAAATACACCTGGGGGCACATTTCAGTACACTGAGACCCGAGTTATATGAAGAAAGTTCGATTCCCAAATTGCCCCGATTGGAATTATAACCCAGGGCGTCATTTACGCGAAGCAACATACCCACCACGGCGCTACGAAGAGCGTCAATATGGAACCATTACGGGGGTAAACTTTATTAACTGCATTGGAATTATTTTTTCCCGAAATGGTATCATGATCGCGTAACGCACAACAAAACAAAAACAAATACATACGAATTACGAGCCCCGTACTTTTGGAGTCGCGTAATAATTATCAATGAATGGAATTGACGTAAAGATAAATGAATTAGAGATAAATGAGCCGATACTATATTAATTGCAGCGATATATTATCTCGCTGCTGAGAAATTGCTTCTCTTTCTGGGTGTAATTGTTAGATTTTGTGGCTAATGTCTGACTTAGGTAATCATCGATAGATCGTAGATCTAGATAATAACTAATAACTCAGTGTTCAGATTGAGTTATTACATATTACATACTTGATTACGCTGATAGGATACAAATTACGCGGATAGATTAGCTTTCTTTAGGTAAAATAATTCTAAGGTCTTTTTTTAAATACCTATTATTAGCGATTTGCTCTGGTTTCAGACGGGTAAATAGATAGCAAGATAAGTTAGTACTTTATATTAACTCGGTAGACAAATTCTTGCTACCTTGGGTTACACTATTGAAATTTTTATTTGTCTATTTTTTTTGAAAATATGTATCCTCCTGTCCTCACATAGAATAGGCCTCACATAGAATAGGCCTCACATATAATAGGTGTTGTAAAAGACGACTAAGGAAGGGCAAAGGATAGGCAGCAGTGTCCCTCTTAAAATATCTCCAAAGCCTAACTACGGTTGCCAATTCTGCTGCCAAACGTGGCAACTACCGGTAAAACTTCCCTAGGGCATGCTGATGATAATGATGGTGATTATATAACCATATATATACCTCGTTTATAATATATAAACTAGGTATAAAGATATACATATAATGTAACTTTGTACAAGTTAAGGAATTTTTACAATCGGTTGAGTAGTTTTGAGTTATTATCCATTATAAACAAACAAATATATAAAAAACTAATCTTTGCTCTTTATAAATATTTGTATAGAAAATCATGTACTATAGAAGAACGATCGACTTATTTTAACGTCTACAACTAGCTCTTAGTAACGACGTTAAGCTACTTAAGTATTAACTTATTTACTCTGAACAAACGCTTCCCCATTCGAAGACAAAACCTATCAATATATAATTTGACGGGCGTCAGTAACTTTATTTAATTAGAAAAGAAAATTAATCTCGGCTCGGCAAAGTCGCCTACTGTTTTTCTTTGCCACATTTCGGACAGTTCACCAACTCGGCCGGCGAGGCACAGTTCATTACTTCCTTTGTACAGGAACTTGGTGAGAATAATTTAGATTCTATATTGAGCTAGCTTTCCATCTGGGGTGTTCTTCTCTAGAAATCTATCCGATTCTAGAATAAGGGCATACGGGTATGCGACTCCGGCCTCCCGAGCCGCTGCAGTGTCCCAGTCCTTTCCGCAACTGCAGTGTCCCCTCCTTTCCTTTGCCACATAAGCCCCTTCTTCTTCTCATTTACCAATTTCCTTTACACATTTCCAACGTTCCCGTCCTTTTTTCCTCAATCCTTTCCTCCATACCGCAGGTGGCGAAAACCACCAACAAGTGCATTCACAGAGGGTTGACGTCAGGCAGGCGGCCGGTCGTAAAACTATAAGCCAAATCCTTTAGTAATATGGATAAAACCATATTACGCCGACCACAAATAATAATTGGGATAAGGGTAGGAAGGTGACGATGATTGAGCTGGCTTTCTGCTCGCTACTTCGTATGCTTGAATTCCAGAAGTAGAAAAACCAATGGAGTATACCACGTGTTTATTTGTTTATTTATTTATTTATAGGATCACCCACATAAGATACAGCGAAACATTTCAATACAATACACTAGCAGATTAGATATAACTGTTCTTACATTTATAGGCAACTACAACATGCTTTGTGTTTGATAAACATTAAAATGGAATTAAATTATTAAATGTCGTGGAACGAAGTTGTGATCCTCAGGAATGAGGGAGTGGTTGTTAATAGAGAAAAAGCTTACTTCCGTGTGGATTCTATATCAATTTTTTTTTCTAATTAATACAGTTTATCGTTTTACATTGCTAAGCAGAGTTCTGTTTGTTCTTTTAAAATTAAACTATGAAATTATAAAGTATGGAGGTGTAATGAAAGGTACCATAGGCGTCACAGTATATTCTATGGTATTTGGCACTATTAATATGTATATGTTTGTAAAACAAGCTCACATTCTTATTTATAATATTTTTTAAAATGTATAAACTAGTTTATTACCTCTCAAACCCTTAACGGCTTAACCAATCATTATGAGGGGGGAAGGGATTAGTAATGGAGGCTAAGAGCCCTGTTGCTAGCAATATACCCAACCTGGTCGACCTCTCCGTGGTCCCCCCTGAAAACCATCGTGCTGAATTCCAAGTGTGTTCAATCACAATGGGGTAATTGACCTGCCTTTTCATCCTCACCTATCATCTCTCACTGGTGCTCCGCCAGCGTATACCGTTAGTGCAGGCGGAGTTACCATTCCATTATCATCCATTAAAAAAAAAAAGAACATTATGAAATTTCGAATACACGTATTGTAAGGAATGGAAAAGGACATAGGCATTTTTTATCCCGGTTATATGAAAGAAGTTGGGAGAAAAACTAGTTAATGAGTGAAAGTAGAGTAATGTTTTTCATATGTAATGTATGATAGGATCATTCTCGCTACGCGACGTGCAAACGAAACAGCATGATGGATTCTTATAAATGGGGCGTCGTTAGATTCATCTTATTCGTGGGAGTGCTGTGGCGTATACGACAACCGTATAAAAATGACCCTCATATACTGTTAATTTTTTTTTTTTATATCTTAAATATATCTGTAGTAAATACAAGCTTAGATGTATCTTTAGTAAATACGTAACCGGCTTGTAATAATGTCAGTTTTGTTCAGCAATAAAAAAAGCAAATTATTAGATTACGTTGACCTAAACGATTTGACTCGCAATCGTAAACACACACACACACACGCACGCACGTAACAAAAAAAATACAATCGAATTGAGAACCTCTTTCTTTTTGAAGTCGGTTAAAAATCTGTCGTGGCAACTCTTTTTAACCCTTCTTTGCATAATGTTGGAAATTTCCATCATAACATTGAATGTTAAAAAATTATATAAAAGGACAAGTTCACTTTAAGTTGACCGTGTCTGGATACCTTTTTAATGTCCATTGCAGAAAAAAAAACATAGCTGTCAATTTTATTTCTTTAACCATTTTTCCTTTAATTTTGAACATGAATGATATTATATATATCTTGATTTGTTTCACCAATAAAAAAAAATCATGCAAAGAAGGGTTAAAAGTATTGGTCACATAATTGCTTAACAATATATCAAATAATAACTACTATATAACTAGCTTTTACCCGCTACTTGGTTTGCGTGACTCGGATATGTTTACAGGATGGGATAAAATACTTTTTCTACAATTGAAAATTTTAAATTCTACTCCTAAACATACTAAAGACAGTATTTCGATAAGGTCGCCCATTGTTTTCTCATTGTGATTATTTCTTGTAATTATTTATATTTATAATAAGTTTACTATTGTAATCTTTTGGAGGAAACAATAAAGAGTATCTATCTATCTATTTCTTTTGAGAGACCAAAATGTCTAGGACACAGGCAGTAGCCTGTTACACGATATTTCCGTGTTAATTTCAACAAAATTTGGTTATATTTTCATTAAACTCCATTGAATGACTATAATAAAACATTGTAGGAGCTCTGTAACGTTATCTGATAGGAAGCAATATGGCTACCTACACGTTTTACCCTCCTTATGTTACGTGATTTGATTAATTAATTAACAAGGTTTTCCTTATTACTATTGAACTCGTATAAAATTGTTATTCTGCAAAATATTTATTTATTTATTTATTTACACATACACTGAACAAAATTTTCATTTAAATAAATTTATTCATTAGATATAAACTCTTTTTAAGAAAAATAATATAAATTATACATGTTATATATGACAAAACAATATAGATGTAATTTTTTTTTTATTTACAACACCAGGGGCCTACGAATTTACAGGGTATAGAGAATTAACACCTGAGTCCTCAGGAATGGCAACGCATGGGGGATATCATAGGCGAAAAAGTATACTCTGTTATGTCCATAATACTGCTTGTGTCTATAGGCGACGGTTACCACTTTCCATCAGGTGGGCCGTCAGCTTGTTTGCCATTCTAAGTTGTATAAAAAAAAAAAAACGAGCATACGGTTCACCTGATGGTAATTGACTACTGCCGCATACAAAAATTACTGGACCAAATAGAATATAATTTTCATAATTTAATCCCTATAGGTCTAACATAAAATTTGGTAAACAATAAATTTTACTCATTTTCTCATTTCTAAAATCCACGCTACGAAGTGACAGACATAAGACAGTTTTTAATACATTTTAAAGATGTTTTTTCAAAGGTTTTTTTTTTCCTATTTTTCTTTTATTTTTCTAATAATTAAGTTACTTTAACCATAACAAAATTATATAGGATAAATACGAGATTAAATCTTACCTGTACACGTAGAAAGCCTTCATATAGCGAAAGTAGCTTAAACCTTGTAACACTAGAGGGCGTTACCCTTCCATGAATGCTTGTATATACATAATTATGTTTAAGTCAGTGTAAAGTTTTATAGATTACTAATTATTAAATTAGAGCAAAATTTGTTAATAGAAAACATAAAAAAAAAAGTATTACAGACAGACTGACCTCCTGTGGTGTGTATCTGAATATCTCGTTGGTGTCTCTGTACCACTTGACGGAGTGGAGGGGCGGATCTTGGGCCTGTCTGATGTACTGACAGCGGAGTTCCGCCTCGCGCCTCGGGTCCACCCATTGTGGCACTTCCAAGAAGGTAATGCTGTGAGACACGCTGCGAGCTGTAACAAAAAACGCAATATTTTCAACCGACGTCAAAAAGAAGGGAGTTCTTAATTCTTCTGTATTTTTTTTATATTTGTTACCTTATAACTAAAGTTACAAATCGATATAGAAAATTCCATTTTCATCTGAAAGTATATAATTACAATTAATCAAAATTGGACCGATAGATTAGTTTTTAAAATAAAAAATGGTGTTTCCACAATTAAAATAGGATTTTTTGTGAATCACAATTTAGAATTATAATAAACTAGGTACAGTATTTCTTTTAACTTAATTATTATTTAATAATTAATCCAGCATACGTTATAATTATTGATAATGCTAGTAGAGTACCAGTGAGTGATAGGTGAACATGATATTAGGTCAGTTGGGCCCTAGAAACCATCATGGTTAATTCGCCAGAAGTTAATATAACTACAGTGGGGAGAGGACAATATATTAACAAGACAGAGTTTTAACAAATTCTTATTATAATATAAATTTATAAAATAATACCCTATGCTACAAATATTACGTTCCACTTTTTTTTTAGCATGCGGCTCACCTGATGGTAAGTGACTACCGCCGCCCATGGTCACCCACAACACCTATGGCATTGCAGGTGTGCTGCCGGCCTTTTAAAAAGGAATATACTCTTTTCTTGAAAGTTATGTTGTCGTATCGTATGTTCCACTTGATTACCCCTTCTATGAAATCGGTTAAATCTAGAATTTTTAAATCAAAAATAAAAGTTTCTAACTATCCACTTAAAATCAAAACTACTTAGGCTAGAAAGCTGGAATTTGGAACTATAAGTTTCATTTGTAAAAAGCGTTCGCTCAGAAAGGACTTTTGAAAATTTCAACTTAAAAGGGGAGAACGCCGCGGGCAACAGCTAGCGCAAGTTAAGATTTTAGGAATTTAGATAATTCGCCTATCAACATGAACATTCGCACCGTGCCTAAATAAATCTCGCAAACTTTCAAGTCCGAGGTCTGCTTTTGATCGAAAATCTTAGATTCCCGCGGCGAACAATTATTTGACCTTTCCAACTAATTGAATCTCGACGGTTCACAGAAATTCGCCTTTAAGAACATCATTCTTGATTAACAGTTGAAATTTTTGACCTTAAAATGTGTACAAATAATACTCCACGAGAGACGAGCGGATGTCTACTTAATTTGATATTAATGTCTAATTTGAATATTGAATTAAATATATATTAAATTAAATAAATCAAATTGATTCATTCATACATATTAATACTGTAAATGTGAAAGTTACCTTATGACGTCTTTACAATTTAACCAATTAAAAAAAAATAGTATACGCGTACTGTATGAACGAAGTAGGATATAAGCTACTTTTTATCCGGACCAGTGAACATGTCCTAGTCACACGGACGAAGTCGCGGGTAAAAGCAAGTTAAATCATAGTTAAATGAAAAATGAGATTAGTAGAAGATGTTATGTATTTTTTACCAGAGGGAGACTTTGTACAAAAGTCGATTGCTTGTGCACCTCTGTCTCATTCGTGTTTCAACCGTGAAGCAGTTGTGTTTGCATGGCTGTGCTTCGGTTTGAAGGGTGGGATATGGTGTGAATTTACTGGGTACAGAGGAATAACACCTGAGTCCTCAGGAATGGCAACGCATGGGGGGTATCCTGGGCGAAACAGTATACTCTGTTATGTCCATGGTACTGCTCATGTCTATAGGCGACGGTTATCACTTTGCATTAGGTGGGCCGTCAGCTTGTTTGCCATTCTAAGTTTTATAAAAAAAAAAAGATAGATAGATATATAATTTACTTCCATTACTTACAGCACATACATATAGACAGACATATACAGTAAAAAGAGATAAAAAATTGCATATACAAAAAAAAGCAACATATATAAAACAAGTAAAAATTTTTTTATTTCATGCGTGTGCTATAGTAACACAAAATGGTCACAACTCAGTTTATTGTTTTGCCCTCAAAAGAGCAAAATACTGATATTCTGTTATGGCCAAGAGCCAGTCGCGAAATTCTTTAATAAAAATAATATATATATATATATATATATATATATATATATATGAATAAAATACATTGTGTTTGTCCATTACATTTGCCTCCATTTAATTTCTAGTTAAATAAATATAAATAACAGATACTATTAAAAGATAGGTAGTCAAAGGTCACTTTAAGAGTATAAATAGATAAAAACCCGTGCGAAGCCGAGTAGAGAAGCTAGACTGATTATATCCGCATTATAAATTCAAAAATATACAATATACTCGTATCCACGAAACATCTCGCCGTTCATTAATATATGTGCATTCACGAACAAAGTCGCTTTTTTGCTGAAAAAAAAAATGTACCATTTACTTTTACTTTGATAACACCTACACCATAAGTTTGTCGGTCTCGCATCATAATAATGGGCTTTCGATGTTTCTTTGTAGGTAAGTAAGGAAACTTCATCAATTTGGAAACTTGTTAAAGTATTCCGATACCAATAACACGGTTGAATGGTGTTATGATCAACCTTCTAGTTGCGTTAGTGATTCATAATGTACAGTGATAAACAAGACACCAAGGAATCCTGTAGCTTCAAAGATGTTAAAGCTTAGTAAGAACGTTGCAATTAGACCATATCTATGCATGGGAGATATTTAAGAAAAATAGAAAAAAGAAAGGAAGAAGCTTAGTAAGAAAGTTGCAATTAGACGATATCTGTACATGGGAGATATTTGAGAAAAATAGAAAAAAGAAAGGAAGGAGAAAGGAAGATGCTTAGTAAGAAAGTTGCAATTAGACGATATCTGTACATGGGAGATATTTGAGAAAAATAGAAAAAAGAAAGGAAGGAGAAAGGAAGGAGCTTAGTAAGAAAGTTGCAATTAAACGATATCTGTACATGGGAGATATTTGAGAAAAATAGAAAAAATAAAGGAAGGAGAAAGGAAGGAGCTTAGTAAGAAAGTTGCAATTAAACGATATCTGTACATGGGAGATATTTGAGAAAAATAGAAAAAAAGAAAGAAAGGAGAAAGGAAGGAGCTCAGTAAGAAAGTTGCAATTAGACGATATCTGTGCAAGGGAGATATTTAAGAAAAATTGTAAGAAAGAAAATAAAGAAGTGAGAAAGGAAGGAAAGAAAGAAAAATATTTATTTGGCGCACATGAATAATAATTACAAAAAATAATTTAAAAAACTATAAACTTAAAGAAAGAATAGCTAATTATAATAGGAATAATTATGCGACAAAAATGATCACCACTCAGCTAAGTGTTAAGGCATTCATAAGGCATATCAAACACCAGAGGGAGACTTTGTACAAAAGTCGATTGCTTTGGTATCTCTGTCCCATTCGTGTTTGAACCGTGAAGCAGTTGTGTTTGCATGGGTGTGTTTCGGTTTGAAGGGTGGGATATGGCGTGAATTTACTGAGTACAGAGGAATAACACCTGAGTCCTCAGGGATAGCAACGCATGGGGGTATCATGGACGAAACAGTATACTCTGTTATGTCCATGGTACTGCTCATGTCTATAGGCGACGGTTACCACTTTCCATCAGGTGGGCCGTCAGCTTGTTTGCCATTATAAGTTGTATAAAAAAAACACTGATTTTCTGTGGAACCAAAGGGGGCGGGTGGTTGATGGGAAGAAATGTTTATATTGTTACTTATGTGCTGTAAGTAATACAAATAAATTATCTATCTATCTATCTATCAATTATTCTCGCCGGATTTTTTTTAATATACGAGTATATACAAAAGTTACATAATGGAATCGTTACTAAGGCCCTTTCTTGTTTTAATCCTCGAAACACTGTTTGCCCTACGCCCCGGGCAAGGAATGTGTTGGAGAGTTCTCCGACATACATTTAAGAACATTAAGACACAGTTTTAGTTTGGAATAAAGAAATGTTTTACCCCGAGTACATGAATTAGGGTATGTAGCGACTGCCCTTTATTTGGAAGCACATAAGTTTCGGAGTTATAAGAATATATGCAAATATATAGGACGGACCGGGGTAAAGAGATTGTAACGCAGTCCGCGTTCACCAGTCCTATTGCTGTCAGGTCGACCTCCACAGGGTACATCTGGAAACCATCTTGATTAATCTTTATAAATTTATCACTATAGGCCAACTGATCTGTTTAATCCTCACCTATCATCCCTCACTGGTGCCCCGCCAGTGTAAACCAATAGCGCAAGCGGAGCTACCATTCCATTGTCACCCATAAAAAAAATATACTAGAGATCGGAGGGCAAGGGATTGTTAGTAATGCGGTCTACCACCCCCATTGCAAGCAATGTACCCTCTCAGATCGACCTCCTCGCGGTACCCCTGGAAACCATCGTGGTTAATACTTGTACATTTCGTCACGATTGGTCAACTGAGCTGATTACGTCATTTATCATCCTTCCTCTAGTACCCCGCCAGTGTATATCACTATTTCATTTTCACTCATTAAAAATATATAGGGGTTAAGGTATTGTTAGTTAGTTAGTAAAGGCTCCAATTGAGTTTAAAACCAGTTGGGCATAAGTTACGTGGTTAAGTTTATGTAACTAAGTATTAATTTTGCTTCAAATATATGTACATATTGTTAATTTTTGAAGTCTGTATCGTTCTTTGAAGGGAAGAATCGAGAGTTTTCATTCATTCTAAGTCACTCTATCTATTTTTTTTAATGGGTGATAATGGAATGGTAACCTCACCCGCGCTATCGGTATACACCGGCGGGGCACCAGTAAAAGATGATAGGTGAGGATGAAGCAGGTCAGTTAGCTCATCGTGACGAATTCAACAAGAATTGTTCACGATGGTTTCCAGGGGGAACCGCGTGGAGGTCGACCTGAGAGGGTTTATTGCTAGCAATGGGGTTATTAGACCGCATTACTAATAATCCCTTTCTTTCTACTCCATCTATTTAGTAGCTATGATTTCACAGACACACAAATAGATAGACAGAGATGTTAAACTTATAACACTTCTTTCTAACCTCCGAGGTTAAAAGG